TAATTTTTTGTACAGGCAGCATTTTTTTATTTATTTATTTTAAATCAGAAATCTGTTTTACATTACAAAATTAATCATATAAAAAGTCTTGGTAGTTTGATCTGATAATTCCTCAGGTCATTAATTGGTTGGTCCTTGTTAATTGAGAAAGTTGATGTTATTGATAGAGTTACGTTAAGGCGTAGCTCTCAATCAGACCTTTAGTCCGTAATGTTTAAATGAAGTGTTCAAAGACAGTCTGATGCCCTGATGCAGCAGTTTGCTGTCATATTAGTGTGGGTTTCATTTCTTTCTGCTTTTGTTGATGCATTCTGCGCACGCAAAAGAGAGAACACTGCTCTTATTGCACCACCCTGTAGAACAAAGGTCAGATGGAATGAATGAATGAACGATGCTGGAATTTTATTATTAATTTATTTTTTTAAAATCATGACTGTGATGAAGAAACTGCATAGCTGACCCACTAAACAAGGTCTGGCTCCCCAGCTCTGGGATCAAGTATAATAAATTAGATTCTCAGATTCTTTTCCGTTTCTAAATAACCAGCACTAACGCAGACCTCATGATGGATTGTTGGCACATCAGAGCGTCAAGCAGTGATTTATTAAGCAAGGCCGAGAAACACACATCTGACCTTAAATCTTACTTTCTCTATGCTTCTTTGAATTTAATCAGTTTTGCCAAACGTGGTTTAATCCTGGCACACTTTGCTGTCTTTGCGTTTGAACTCGTTTTCAGGTGACAAACATGCCTCTCTCTTGCTTTTTTTTTCTTTTTTTCTCGCTCTTAAGTTGATTGAGTCCAGGTTCCATTTTTAGAGGTGGGAAAGAGCTGTGTTGTTGAGGGGATCTGGTTTCGACAAACATCCGCAGACTAATAATAAATCATGGCTGCTCTACACAGCGGGGTGCTGTTGGCGTTAGTGTGGGTGCGTATGTGAGTGTGCATACATGTGTAAATCATCCTTTAAGTTAAAACCTTGCATTTAAACAAGGCCTCTAAACTTTATCATCCTCTCTGTGGTCTCTGTGGAGTGCAGCTACAAGCCTCTGCTTGCATTTCTCTCCTAATTAGCACAAAACATGTGAAACTGCACACCGACGATACCCTTATTTTCTAACCTTCCGCTAACCAAACCTAAACTCGTGCAGAGAAATTATGTAAATTCCCCCCATTCCTCAATTTGCGATGCACCCTTCCGGACATTACTCAACAGTCCTGGTTTGAGATTTTAACAAAACCAACTCCTAGAAGGGAGACGAGGATAAGAGAAGACAACAGCAGAAAAGATTTAAATGGAATGGAAGAGAGGTTAAAGAGAGAAGGTGGAGGTTGCAGAGGTGGTGATTTGCGACCCACAGGAAACAGGCTCATTTTCTCCAGCCTCTCGGAGACCATAACAGGCCCAGGCGCTGTGTGTTTCCTCTTGATAACACTCGCATGTACTCACACTTACTCACTCAGTCTGACATGCATGGCTATTAGACGGCAGATTTCTGTGTTAAAGATGCAGCTGTTTATTCGGTTATCTTTTAAGTTTATTGGCATCCCAAAAAAAAACTGCAAAGTATTAAAAGTATTCCCTGCGTATTTCTATTCTTGACAAGGTGGGAAAAGGCTTGCAAGTGTCTTATTCTCACTTATTGACAGCAGATGTGCACAGAGATGGTGAGAAATGAGGGCAAAAAGTCCTCAAAATGAGAACTAGAGGAATGATTGATGTGTTTCCCTTTTGTTCTTCCTGCTTCTTTCTCTGTTTTTGTCAGCCAGACAGCCAGTGCACTTACAGCCTCGGCTTTTTTTGAATTCGGTTACAGCGATAAGGACGGAAAAGAAAGTGAGAGGTAAAAAAAAGACAAAACTGTCCTTGTTCAGCTGGAATTCCACGAGACAATAGCTTCATCACACCTCTTCCTTCCCCGGCGCTCACTTTTTGTTTTGTCTTTTATCAGTCAGCTCCACACACCACCAATCTAGTAGGATGAATCAATAAGACGATACCACCGATTAGTCGACACCACTGATAAATGCAATTTTGAGTGTTTTTGCAGATAACAGGATAAAAAAAAAAAAAAAGGGCACGTGGGGAGGGGAAAAACTGTGGAAAAAATGTATTGCACGTAAGTGTAGTCTGCAAGAGGTGCCTTCAAGGTGCCGTTTCCAGACTCAGCCAGGAGGATGACGAGAATGATGTTCTGAAAAAAAAATTTCCAGAGATTGAGCGCTTCGTATTAGCTTTGAAGTTCGTCTGACAGGTGCGCATATGCTTCGACTGTAAGCAATATCACCTGTGAAGGAGGGGAGGGGGGACAAAAAAAAAAAAAGCTCTGCTATAAGGTTCTGTCACCTCGGAGGCAGGGCGTGTGTTTGTAAAGTGTGTGAAAAAAGAAAGGGAGTGGACTTGCTGTTGAGTGAATAAATACGTGTGTGTGTGTGTGTGTGTGTGTGTGGGTTGAAACATCATTACCTTGGGATTTGAGTACACGGCCAGACATCATTAGGCTTTAAGGCGAGAAAGTCTCCACGGCACCAGTTTTGCAGTCTGCCTGACCCAGCAGACACGACAGGCAGGCACGCCGTTTAAGATCATTTGTTCGGGTTTGCATGCATGCCCCTGCGCGCATGTGTGCGTGGGTTACTATGTGCGCCGCGTCCTGTGTGTGCGCGCATGTGTTTGCGTGCATGTTATTTATTTATTTTGCTTGGTAATATGCCTGAGCCTTCATTATAGCGGGAGCCATAACTTTGATAAATCACTTGGGCTTGGGGCCCTCACTGCTTTCACAGTATTAGAAAACTAATTGAAATTCTCTTCCGCCCCCTCCTCTCTCTCTCTCCCTCTCTCTCTTTCTCTCTCTCTCTCACCCTTTCCCTCGTTCTCTTCTTCTTCTTCCCGTCTCTGTAGCGAGGGCCAAACAGTACCGTGTTTTTTCAGCAGAATGGAAGCCAAGAGGGGGAAAATGTCATCACTGATTTAATAGGCGTATTCTTGCTCAGAAACACACAGCAGGCTCACACTCGCACACAAACACACACTGCACTCTGGGGAGTGTTAGGAATCCTGATAATGTCATCATAGGAATCTCCATAATGTACCCCCGGTCTCCTGCAGGCTCCGGTTCGACTCTGCCTCTCCTCTGTTTTTGATTAGATGAGGGGGGGGGATGAGATTTTAGGTTTAGGTTGATAGGATTTGGGAGTTTAGAAACTTGTTTCTATGGCCGTGATCCCCCCGCTGTCAACCCGGATTGAGGGGGCTGCTTGGTTCGTTGCCTGGGCTCTCCCAGCTGCCACTGGATTGAGGGTTTAGTCGTTTTATTGTCCGTGATCCTCCTGCTGCTACTTGATTTGTTTCATTCGCGGGGATCTCTCTCTGGGTTGCCGCAGCTAAAATTCAGGGTGTGGTTGTTTTGTTGCGCAGGATCTCCCACATGAAATTTGTTTGGGAGTTTGTTTTACTGTCCACGATCTCTTCCTCCTCCTCCTCCTCCTCCTCCTCCTCTCCCTCCTGCTGCTGCTGGATTTGGGGTCCGGTTGTTTTATGAGGCTCCGTCCCTCAGCTGTTGCTAGATTTAGGGGTTTAGTTGTTTTGTTGTCCAGGATCTCCCTGCTGCTGCTGCTGCTGCTGCTGGTGGTGGTGTTGAGGGGGGGTTTAGCCACTTTTTAATATCCAGACACTGCTACTGTTTGTGTGACACTTGGGGCTTTGTGTCCACCCAGCAACCTTCTCTTTCTCCCGCCGGGTGAGCTTTGCAGTGTGAAGCCAAAGATTTAGCGATGAAAGCGGAGAGTCTGTGTGTGTATATATGTGAGGCGGCTTGTTGTGAAGCAGGCGATTTCGTGGAGTCCTGTCAGCACACAAAATTCTCTCTGCAAACATTCCTCTGACGTGATGTGAGCCCAGGAGAGCAGGGCGGCGTACGAGCCTCTGTGTGTGTGTGCTTTCGACAGTCGGCGTGCGTCTGTTGCCCCGGCAAATCCATACCATCGCTCTGAGGCAGGCGCATAGTCACACATGCACACATAGTTTGCGTGTGTGTGTGTGTGTGTGTGTGTGTGTGGTTAATGAGGATGTGTTGATTGATTAGACTGCAGTAATTAGCTGGAGTTTGAAAGCCTGGAAAGGTCTCTGCTCTGGTGGGAGTGTCCCCTCTGGAGAGACATTGAACTGTGCTATGCACCATTACATTACAGACACACACACACAAACACAACAGAAAACAGTCCCATCCGAATCTCAGATGCGGGATGAGTCATCTCGGAGGCAGACCTAATACTTGGTGCAAGTGTGAAGTAAGAGGAAGGATGTTTGTTGTGTGTGTGTGTGTGTGTGTCGGAGACGTAAGGATGTTTGCAGCGTGGAGATGTGTGTTGCAGAGTGAGATGTGCTTGTGCCAGCAATTTCTTTTCCTGCACAGTGTGGCCCGAACACTGACCTGATCCTCTGCCTTACAAATCAACTCTTCTCTCCCTCACCACCTCCTCCTCCTCCTCCTCCTCCTCGTCTTCCTCCCGCTCATTTGCAGTTTTACTTCCAGTCTGCTACCTAGATTCCATCTGCGCACCACAAAGCTGCTTCTAGTAAATGCAAATAACATGGTACTAAGTATGACAACCTCAGTCTCTGGCCCTGAGTTATGAGGATGCAGAATGAACGGCTTCATTAAACCATTGCAAACACTGCCACCACATGGTCAACTGGAGAACTTACATGTCGATTCAGTGGTTTTGCTGGCGCCTACTTTTCTCATCTGTGCTTTACTTCTTGATCTACACTAAATCCTTGATTTAAAACACACACAAAAACCATTAAAATTTGCACCTTGCACTTTTAAAACACATCCACATGAGCTCAGATCTCTTAAATGTGTTACATTAGGAAATTTTACCCTTCTTATTGAATGATTGACCCCACGTTACTTCCAATTTTCAGTGCAGTTAATGAAATCATATTTTAATACAATTCTTTCTTCTCCACACTTTTTTGTGTCCCTGTGCAGGAAGTTCTACTACATTACTCTGCTGAGGGACCCTGTGTCTCGCTACCTCAGCGAGTGGAGGCACGTGCAGCGGGGAGCCACGTGGAAAACCTCCCTGCACATGTGCGATGGACGAACCCCAACGCCGGAGGAGCTGCCCTCCTGCTACGAGGGGTCCGACTGGTCGGGCTGCACCCTGCAGCAGTTCATGGACTGTCCCTACAACCTGGCTAACAACAGACAGGTACGGGGAAAAAAACAGCCGAATATGATGAAATCTAGCTGCAGTGTTGAATCAACAAAACAATAAACAGTGTATAGTGTAACCTTCAGGAGGTGTTGCACGCTGTTGCACAGTCCCTTGACTTAAAGCCAGTGCAGCCACCGAGAAGGACGGTGCACACAAATCCTCAGCCATTCGCCTTTGCTTTTGTGCTTCCTTTGGCCGTTTGTGGAAAAGAGGCTCTTTTACTGCACACCTTTAAAGAGCAGCTGATTTCAGCCATCCATCACTGCTGCCAGGCTAACCTGCATCTCTGCGGCCGACCTGACTTCTCTCCTGTCTGCCTGACTGCTTTATTTTGTTCACCGTAAAGATTATTGTCAGACATTGTCAGCTAGTCCTACGGAAAACACCAATCCAAGGAATTCATATCTGCAGAAAAACACATCAGTTGGATTTGAAGGAGCTATGTGAATTTGTTTTTCATTTGATTTCCTCCATCCAGAAAGAGGAAGGTACATGTATAAGGGGAATTGCACATGTGTGAAATGCGCTCTTTCTCTGTGTCTCACACACACACACACACACACACACACACACACACACACACACACTTGCTCGTACACAGTCGGGAGTTTGCCTGCTGGCTATAAACACCTCAAATTCACACCTTCTTTTCTCATGCTATCTCAGTCTCCCACCTCAACGTGTTGGCCAGCTTATCTCATCTCAGCCTGAGGGTGTTATTACTCAGGGTCCCATGACTTATAAATGTGGCACTAACACACAAACTTGAGGCATCCTGATGAACCCGGCAGGCTGAGGTTCGCGCTCTTATGAATCCAAATCGGTGTGCAGTCCCTCTTCCTTTGCTGTAATGGGATGAGATCTCGATTGATCGTTTTGGAACCAAATTCACCAGAATTGAAACTACTTAACATTAGTCTGTGATCAAGAGCTTTAAAGGAAATAAGACACTAACAATACTGAGATACTAAAGTTGTGAAACAATCTAGTTCATGCATAAAATGCAGGACACGAGGATTCACGCTGCACCTGTGATGTTTTTCATTTTCGATCTTTTGCCTGTTTGAATTTGTTCTTCTTTCTTGGTGAAGTGATTCTTCATTCAGTCTTTGAATTATTAACAAAATGTTCATAATAACTTCCTAAAACTCAAAGTAATACCTTAAAAACGTACTTCTTTCCACTAACTGTTTTGCAGTGTTCATTGCTATTAATGTACAGCACTCTGAGCTGCACTCTTGTATTAAAGATGATAAACGAATCTTAATTAGTAACATTTAAAAATGAAAAACCCTGAAGGAAGGTGAAGCAGAACTCCAGCTTTTCAAATGTTGTGTTTTTCTTAAATCTTAATGATCAGACATTTAGTCACTTAAAACCAGTTGCTGAAGACTGGGAATAAGACTGGTTTTTTCACAGTTTTTTAAGCTCTCATTGACTAAAAAGTCAATTGATTCATAGAGAAAATGGTTAGAAGATGAATCGATAATGAAAACAACTGTGACTTGCTGTCCTGTTTATGACTAATCAGTTGTCCAAATAGCTGCTGATTAATTTTCTGTCATTTTCTAGAGGATTCATGAAATCACTTCAGCACCATTCAGCCACAAAGACAGATTCTGTTTGACATATGTGAATGATTGAAACCTCCTTCCCCTCTTTTTGTCCCCTCATGTGTAGGTTCGTATGTTAGCGGACCTGAGCCTGGTCGGCTGCTACAACATGTCCACGGTTCCAGAGAAGAAGAGAGCCCAGCTTCTCCTGGAGTCAGCCAAGAAGAACCTGCGAGACATGGCCTTCTTCGGTCTGACGGAGTACCAGAGGAAAACCCAGTTCCTCTTTGAACGAACCTTCAGGTTGCGCTTCATCAGGCCTTTCATGCAGTACAACAGCACCCGGGCTGCAGGCGTGGACCTGGACAACGCCACGGTCAGTGATTTATACGTGGTAGACTGAGATTTTTGTACAAATAATCGGAAAATAATCGAGTAGATGAGGCATATGAGAAAGTCAGCGGTGGACTGTCGCAAAGTGGATTCACTGAGACTTAATTTGGCAATTTCCATTTTGAGCTGAAATTCTACCTTCAGAACATTTATTTGATATTTATAGTGACTTTACATATTGAGAACTTGGGTTAAAAACACACAGCAGCCTGTATGTCAAAGGTGAAACCAGGATTTTTCCAACCTTTTAGGACCATCCTTGCATGTCAAAAAGGAAAATAAAACAAATATTATCTGAGAATGGAAAAAAAAAAAAAAGGGAGACACAGAGAGTAAACACTCCAGTCTTATATTACTGTGAAATGAGTTGGGATGACTCTCCCTGTTTAAAAAACAGCAGCTTCAAACATGTTCTTCACACTTTGATTGGTCCAGTGTGGGAGTTCTTAAACTCAATTCTTAGCCAAAAAAAAAAAAAAAGAAATATATCCTCCAGTACACAGCAGACTGGTGGTTTATACATCAAACTCTCTTTGGTGGAGAGAAAATAAAATATGCACAGCTGACAGACGCTGTGGAAAGGTAGACCGATGGTTTATTATCACAAGAAAGAGGAAACATCACTTTGTGAAGATTTGGAGTATGACAGGTGGGAAGTCTGTGTCTCGTAATAAAAGTAGTTTTTTAAAATTAGTGTTTAATTCAAATCTTTCTGAAGGTTCTGTGTGAAATTTGAGTAATTTTGAAGAATTAGTTTTATAAAGAAAGTCATATAATTACATCAACAGGTTTCGAGAAGAACGTTTACCTTAGATTTTTCCCCGCAAAGCTCCTGAAAGCCACTCGTACCCTCCGAGATCCCAGCGAGTCATTTCTGATTGAAACCAGTTTCCAAATTGTTTGACGGCTGTTCTCTGATAGATGAAGTCTTTATGTTGACGACTTGAGCTGAGCGCCGTCTTCCTGGCTTTGTGCCGGTGTCCCCCCATGCTGCTGATCAAACATCTCTAATTTTCATCAGTGCAGCATGTCGCTTCCCTCTGTTGTAGCACACGTTGCTCGCAAATGATATCCTGCGCTCCATCGCAGATTTCAAAGGGATTCTCTTAATTAAACACATTTCACCCGCTCCATGTTGAATTCAGACTCAGCAGAAGATAGATGCCAATAAAGGCAGCTGCATTGCACAAGCGAACATCAAACACGTTTCTGTTGTCTCCACATTGCCAGCACACTCTTCTTCTTCTTCTTTTTTCTTTTTTCAGCTCCCTCTCTCTGTAGAAGGCCCTATAAAGCATTTGTTCAAATGCCGTGTCGAAGATGTTTTCACAGCTGGAACATTAATAGTTGGAACCGGAAGCTTATTGGCAGAATTTTAACTGCACCACGCTGAGGAACCTATAGGCGGCTTTTCACTGCATGAACGTAGTCAGCCTTTCGATTGCCGCTGCTGTGAGATCCAACAGCTTCGACCGCAACGTTAACTTTAAGTGTGACGACAAATAGTAGCTACTGGACGTTCCTGCAGTTTTAAGTAAATAGACAAAAGGAGGGTTTGCTACACTGGTTAATATAGTGACCTTTATGAAGATAATGGTGACGCGAGAGAGGAGATGATTGCTACTTGATGGGCAGAAAATGGCCTTTGTGGTCCTTCAAAGTTCAACCCATTGGTTTTTGTCACCTCCGAGTTTAACCAGTCAGTGTAATTAGTCGATTTTCAGAAGTACCTTCCTCTGATGGATCCTTTTTTCTTCGCAGAAAACAGCCTTAAAAGAAGTTCAACGTGGGTTTCTTTTGCAGTTGGAACATGCACAAAGGTTCAGGCCACCCTAAAGCAGCCCACAAGTTCCTGCAGTGGAGAACGGCATATTGATTGAGTTCCTGTGAAATAGTTCCAAATGCTAAACAAGTTCCTACTCTGGAGAATTTCTGATCATTCTCAAACCAAACCTTATATGTGCCACTTCATTCACAAAACACTGCTGGTGTCAATGTTAGCATGAGGGAGGGAACACTTCTTCACACCGTCTGAACCTCAAGCAGTTTCTGGGAGGTTTTTTTGTTTTCCTCACTGTCGGCTCATTTTTCACTGCAATATAAATTAATGCACCTCTGTAGAATCAGAACAGTCCTGACTAGAAGCAGAAGACTCTCAAACGCCTGTTGTATAGTATAAAAAAAGGCATAGGACCATAAATCATTTCAATTCAAATCAAGTTTAATTCGTTGATTTCACAAAACTTTTGAAAATCTGGCTTGTACAGTGTTTTTCCATGTGCCTACAGGTGTAGCCAAACATGGACAGACATGGTGGCTTTTACTTCTGACATGAACACAGCCTGCAGTTCAGCTGAAAAGTCACTGGATGTTGGTCATGTGACTGTTCATAGCAGCTGAGTCACTAAGGACTTCAGTGTTCAGACAGCGCGATTTGTTTTTGTTTTTGTTGTTTTTACAGAATCTGGCTCGTGCAAACAGTTTCTTTTTTGTAGAATTTTTGAATGAGACAAAGAGAAACTAAAGTGATTCTGTTGCTGGAGTTCTAGATCAAAGATCGTTGGAAAAGTGAACATCCGATGATTTGTTCAGTTTTTACAGTTCCTGGCTCTGATAAATGGCGTCACTTTGGCGAGCAGTCAAGGGGCAGTCATGATGTATAGCTTGCTAGTCTAGCTTCCTGAGTTTAGGTCCTTTTTGCTCTTTAGATCGTAGAACTTTTTGGTTCCTTGTTGGTCCTGGATGCCAAAAATGTCCCTCCTCAAGGGGTAGTACTTTTAAAAGGTTGGTCGGTGGTTGGTCATTAATCACAAGGATCTCTGGATGTCCCTGGAATCAATATCAGAACAAGGACTTCACAATTTTTGATGCGTATTAATGGTATAAGAAAATGTAGGCTTTAATGTCAACGATAAGAGTGGGACAAAATGGGGTAAGGACAAGAAGCTGTTGTGGAAGAATAAAGCAAATTTGGAAATCCATCGTCGATTTAACTTGCTTAATCTTCAGGGTTTTTTTAGATACATTATAGAAAGAATTCCCAAAAATGATGTACATCCTGAAAGTTGAAAAGGCAATAGTCTTCTCTTTGTGTTAATTCTTCCTTCTCTAGTTCCTGTTTTCCCTTTCTCCTTGTCCACTCATCTCTTGCTGTGATTCAGCTTAAGAAAACCTAAATGTTCCTTGTGCTCCCTCCTCCAACAGGTCCAGCGCATAGAGGAGCTGAACGAGCTGGACATGGAGTTGTACGACTACGCCAAGGACCTGTTCCAGCAGCGCTACCAGTACACCAGGCAGCAGGAGAGGCGGCAGCAGCGCATCAAGAACCACATGCGGCAGAACCGCCTGGGCGTCAGCCTGTGGCCCTCCCGCAGCTGGCAGAACCTGGTGGGGACACTGGAGGACGGAGAGGGGGAGAGGGAGGAGCGGGAGGAGGGAGAGGAGGGAGGCAGAACGGAGGAGGCGGGCAGCAGGCTCCCCACTGAGGACTACATGAACCAGATCATCAACCGCTGGTAGCAGCAGAATGAGAACAAACAGACATGCATATGTAATGTGAAACACATATACACACACACACACACACACACACACACACACACTTACATTCACAGAAAGTGGCTCCTGCTTCAAAGACCCAAATGACTGACAAACAGACTTTATCAGAGAGTCGGGCTGCGAGAATCAGAGTCCAAGTAGGTTGCTATGGAAACCTGAGCTTGGTCGATTGCATCAGCTCACATTATTGAGGTTTGCCCAGTTGTTATTAGCGCCTGCTTGCCCTTTCCCTCCCTCTGCGTTTCTTTGTCTCTCCCATCATCATTACTGACTGAGCAGAGGAGAGATATTTTTAAAAGTTGCTGACAACAGAGTATCTCAACAACCTCGCCCGCCTCCGCTGCGCCTCCTGTATTCCTCTCGTTCTCTGTGGCCTGATATGGAGCATGAGAGAATGAAATCAAGTCTGTGAATTCCCACTAATCCTCGCAAAAAAAACAAAAAAAAAAAACATGGAAAAAAAAGGACCAGTCTACTTCCTGGATGCTCCGATTTCAAAGGAACTGGGGAAGCTATGAAAGTATGCTGATGGCTGGGCTGAACAAAGAACATGGTGGGAGTACATTAAAAGACTGTACTACAAAGAAAGAAAGCGAGAAAAAGATGGACACAGTTGTGTAATAAAAGCTTTCTGCTTACAAAAAAAAAAAAATCAGCCATTTCACCCATGAACACGCTTTGGTCATGAGATAGTGACAGTCTCATTCTCATTTTAGGATGATTTCATTTGTATTTTCCTTTTGTGTTTATGCTTTTTTAAAAGCAGAATTGTAATAACACTGAGACCAATATTGCTGCCTAAAGAAAAGTGATTCCTTTATTTCTTTATTTTTATTTGTTTTTTTAAGTCAAAGCTAATGGATTGGATTGACGTACAATGGACCATAGCCATTACTGAAGCCTTGCTTCGTGGGGGAGAAAAGTGGCCTGTTTTTCTGTTAAAGGTTCCCAAAGCTCCTGTCGCTTAACAAGTTCATTATTTCTCCTTTTCTCTCCCTTTTTTTGGGATTTCAATCCTGCGGAGAATGACAGCCAATTACAGAGCCGAATCTCACATAGGTGCGAAGAAATCAAAGGCAGGGAGAGGAGGGAGACGAGTGAGTCTGCTGTAGGTTGTTGCCAGGAACTGTGGTGCGTGAGCGGCAAGCGCTTTGGAAGCCTTAACGCAGACAAATGCTTGAGATGGGAGCTGTGGAACTACTGGTCACCATGGCAATGTGGGCTCTTAATGTAGTGGGTGGCATTTTCAGTTTCTCGATTTGTCTTTTCCTTTCCTTTTCTTTTTCTTTTTTTTTTTTTCTTTCCCTGACTGTGTTGTAAAAACGGCAGTCTCAAACAAGCCTCCGTCCCACCCGCTGTAAGGGCTCGCACGCCGCTGGTGACCCGTAGTTCGTTAGTCTGAGCTACATTTTAGTCGGTTTTACCCTGAAGAACGGACAGGGCGAGGTAGCAGTGCCTCTATGTACTGGGATCATAGTCAACATAATTATTGCCAGATATTATGTCTGCATTATACTACAGTAATTTCTCTGACTACTCGTGAGTCTGTGTGTGTGTGTGTGTGTGTGTGTGAGTGTGTTTCTGTGTGTGTGTAAATAGTATGTACAGTATGCCTTTGATTGGCGTATGTGTATGCCTTTGTAAATAGTGTGCCTGACTGACAGAGGATGTCTGCTGAGTTTTGTGAATGACTGGTTTCATGACCAATTATCTTGCCATTTTATTTTTTTATTTTAATTTTTTTTTTTTTTTTGGTGGTGGAGGGCAGCGCAACAAAGTCCCTCCAACAGAGTGTGACCAGCAAAGTGATGCAAGCCAATAATACTCCCCCTGTCCTGTTGTGTCCTTAACCCCTTTCCTTTCTCCCTTTTTCTTGTCTCCTTCCCATGAAGCGGTTTAAAGATTGTGTCACTAAAGTTACCTAAAAATTGTAATTTGCATTGAAAAAAAATCCACCTTTTATGACATGTTTTCACCATTAACGGCAGAACCTATGAGTAACGTTGGCAGGTTCCATTTGTTTTTATTCAGTCTTGACCTTGACACTCTGTACATTAGTCTGTGTTTCAGCCATGTGTTGCTCCCTACTCAAACCTTAGGAGGAAATCCAAACTGTATTTTTTTTATCCAGCAGCCGGCCACATCTTTAAAGGTGTTTCCCTGATCCCACAGGGCTCAGCTGTTTGCACGGGGCAAAACCAAAGTATTTCCCCAGACTGTGCTGGATACTGGCGCAGCTTGGGCAGCTCACTTATCATACGGTTGCGAAATAGAGGAAGTCTGACTAAAGATTTGATTTAAACGCTGCTTTAGCCCCAGCTGAACAATTTGATATAAAGTAAAATATTGAGGCGTTACAAAAATAACGTATCAACAAATAACATTTACATTTCTCTCCTTTAGGTTTGTGTAGGGAACACTGTTTTATAAATCACAGAGCTGGCTTTCTGCTGGCTCAGAATGGGCCTCTGGGGAGTGACTGTGCACCACAATAAGCATGATCAGTCTTCATGCAGTGCAGGCAATGAGTCTGTGTTGCCTTATTTGAGAGAAATCTGTGTGTTCCTGTTATTTCTGACAATTTTGATAAACAGAAATGTCTGTTATGCTTGACTAAATGCAACCCCTTTTAACAAAAATGGTTATAAATTATAGATTTTTTTAAAAAATGTCTTTTTATTTCGATGGTTTTGTTTTGTCCGTGTCTGAAATCTAGTTTTGCCGGAAAAACAGTGATGTACTGAGTGACAAGGTCTCAGATGGGGCTATAATGGCGGCAATTTAAGTCAACTGTTGCCAAGTCCATAACAGCTAAAATATAACTTTTAGCATTTGTCCTTATTTTGACGATTGTTTTTTTTAAAGAAAAGAAATCACCACCGTACAACTACAAGTGGACTTACCTGCTTAGCCGAACGCATCCCATTAATTTCATCTTTCAGTCACACGATCAATATTTTAAGGCGATCAAATTAATAAGCTTGAGGTTATGAAATAAAGGTGTAAAAGTAAGCTACATCTGCTCATTGTCGGATATATTTAGTGTTCTATTTTAGGCGATGACGGATCTTTTAGCTGTTTTTAAAAGCTACTTGCAAATTGTAAAAACTCATTTTAATTGGATGAGGTATTTCAATGGATCGATACTGGATTCCGGTTCGATCAAACCCCCCCCCAACCCTAATCTACAAGCGAAGAGCAATAAGAAGAGAACACCAATGAGCAGGTGAAGAAGAGAATGTAAAAGTGAGAAGAAACTGAATGTAGTCCAGGTTCAGTGTCATCAGTCAACCTGCTGCCTTTGTGTTTAGACAACAACATGATGCATCCTGGTGTTAATAGTCCTTTTTTTTTAAAGTCTCAAAGAAGGGGACTATTTAGCTGCCCGCCATTTTCTTGTTAAATTTCAGCTAATCACCCCGAATCCTCCTGTCGTCCTGTGTCTGTCTATTTGATCAGCTCCTTTTAAATCAGGGATGATTCATGAATGGAAGGAGGGAAGAACAAGGGGGGGATGATGAAAGGCATTGGGACACATCCAGAGTCAATATGCTTCTTTTTTTTGTGTAGCCTTCAAAGTAATGCAATAGGGACAGAGAAATGGATATGGAAAGAGTGATCTCCCCTTTTTTCATATCAACTTCCCCGTCATTGTGCTCTCGAAACTGGAGACTTGAAAACACGCTGCAGCTCCAGGCATTTTGCCCGCAACTTCTTTTTCAGAGTCAGACTTGCATTAGTCCGTGTTTTGGGCTCAAAACCAATATCTGGCTCTGCATTAGTAGTTAAAGAAGGAATATGAAACCGATTCTCTATGTTGAGACTGTTTTTTATTTCCAGTGTTCCAGTTTTGAGTGACCGTCAAGTCTTGAAGCAGTCCAAAAAAAAAAAACCTCAACAGTGTGTGAAAGACAAACTCAACCCTTTCACAGAAATGATTCCAGAAACTGATGCTCTGAAGCTATTCTCAAGTATTTCATGTCTCATCACTATGTATATCTGATGTCTTAACAGCGTTTCCTTTGTGACAATGAAGCAACCCAGGTGTCGCTACCATCATCCTTTTTTTTTTCTTTATTTTATTTTATTTTTTTAAAGATGTGTTAAAGAGAGTGTGATAGAGACGTGTTTTTTGAATTGGTGTGCAGTCTGTCTCTGGCTCTTTCTGTATGCATCTTTCTGGGTTTGTTTCTTATGATTGCAAAAATGAATCATCAAGCCACCAATTAAAATATTTCATTTTTACAGACCTGACTGTGTTGTGGTTGTCACTGCATATCATTTGTGATGTGTCCCGCTCTGTCACTGTATTATCAAGCGAGCTCTCTTGGAGAAACATCTCCCCCTTTGACTTCGCATCCGAAGCACCGAACATGAAAACCAGCCACATATTCATTTGAGACACACTCGGTGGTTTTTTGACAACTTGTGTGGGAGCTTTGCCCTCCAGGTTTCTACACTTCCATTCACAGGCCAATCTGTAACTAGAGGACATTTCTACCACTCGCCTACACTAACCACAGGACCATGACCCCATAAAGCAGCCTGTTCCCCTCCTAATGACAGCCTCAGTCCTGTCAACCGTGATCTACAGCCTAATTCTATCTGCAGACACCCGGGGCCTGCCTTAGCACACTTATATGCACACAAATATGCTTCTTCCCCCCGCTGTGGCAGGTAGGCGTTTTGGCGAGCGAGAGGACGGCGACTGTGGGCCGGTATAAATATCATTCCCTGTCCTTGGCTGAGCATGCAAACGAGAGGGAGCAGAGCACAGGCCTTCACCCCCGTCTCATCAGCACACCACCGAGCTTCAACTCTGACCTCCGCAGGCAGGGCGGAAAAATAATTTGCCTGGACAGGAACGGGGCCGAAGCAATTGGCTGGAGGGAGATCAAAGCGAGCAACAAAAGCGAGAGTGTAAGGGAGATGAGGACTCAGAGGGTCTTTATGTACGACAGGAGGAAAGAGAGGATGTTTTTTTGTGGCCAACATATGAACAGAGAAATGGGTGAAGCGGGAGAGAAAAGGAAGAGCTGTGCAGCCTCTCTGGCAGCTGGTAAATGGTGTATTAGACTGAACGCAGTCTTTAATCCTCCCCGTAGCTCTGGGTCGCTGTCATTTCAAGTGCAGCTGGACTAAACAAACAATAATGGCTCAGCTACTGCAGAGGGCTGGACAGCTTTTGTCGAGGCTGAGCATGTGCATGTGAGCGTTTGAGAGAAAGTGCTCAATCGCTGTTGCTGCAGTGGGAATCCAGCTCTGAGTGATTGTATGGACTCTGGCTGCAGTCCATTATTAGGAGGTCAAACTGGCTGCAGCTCCTCATTGCTGGTCCCATGCTTGTTTCATGCAAACAAAGAAGCTCTGGCATTATTATTGCTTATTTTCAGCGTGGAATTCTGCAGATAAGTTCATATTGAGTGCCTCCCTTGCATACATCAGAGCCAGGCTATTGTAGTTCTGGAGGACTGCCCTGTTGGCGTTGTCACTGGTCACGATGGAGTTTGGTCTTTTGTCTCTAGTTGAGTCGTTTCCAGCCGTGGCACGGCTTAGACCTTCATCGTCAAATATACAATGCGGATAATTCTCCATACACAAACAATTTGCAGAGTTTCAATACCCTGTTTTGTCAGAAAGTAAATGCGAAAGGGCTGTGAGAGAGTGCAGGCCAGTGTGGGAGTGCACAGTTTTCCTTCAGCAATAAAATAAATATGATTAGATTGGACATCTGGGGCTGTTATCTGACCTTCCACTCTGGTTCTGGTTAATCTCCCAGGTCAACACCAAATAATTTCTCATGATATTACAGGACTGAACATAAGAATCCAACCTCCCAGGCAGTGCTCTGCTGACTTACACCAGTGGGAGTCCGATCTGAGGAAACACACGATCCTATTAGGGCCTAAAATGTGTGTTTATTATGTTTGCGTATGTGAGTGCAGCTGCGGGCCCGGAGCTCATAAAGAGCTGATCTGCTGCAAACTTATTAACCTCAACATAAAAAAGTCTGATAAATGATGATGTTGGAGGAAATGGAGCAGGATGCAAACCCTGGGTCAGGGCCACGCATGAAAACTCGGGCTGTTAGAGGAGTGATATATTTTCATGCATGTGACGTGACACATGCACACGCAAGCCAACATAAAAATGAAAATCGTAAAGGTTACAAAACAGTGACTTGTCCTAATTAAAATGTGTGTTTATTAATGTGCATAGCTGTTTAAAACACCGAGGTAAACAACACTACCCTCCTCTCCAGCTGTATTTAAGGCGCGAGCTCGGACCAGCCCGGTGTTTGGTGGCTGTAATGTGGTGAATTAGCTTCATGTAAGAGACCCCGGCTGACCCCCATTATACAGTCAGGGACACATTTAATTAGCAGCAACTCACGTGAAACGACAAAATGTATTAATATTAATGGAGGTTTAATTGAGGTCGTTTTGGTCCCCCGTCGAGGCTTTCAACCTCTAAAATGGCTGACGTGTGATAGTGCGAGGAGAGGGAGCCCACAGCCCGGGTTCGCCATTTCGTATGTGACCCCGGAGAAGATGACAACCATCTCCCATAATTCATCTGAAGATGTCACCTTCTTGACAGATGAACAGGCCCTGTGGGCAGCGTGTGTGAGCGAGGCCGGGCTCAGCCACACTTGTGGGGACCGTCTGGCGAGGACGTTTTGGGCTGTCCACATAAGGATAAGGCTGATTTTTGTCAGACTGTGTGCGTGTGAGCATCTACATGTGTGAGGTGTCGGCATGTGCACGTCAAAGTGAAGGTCAAATCCAACAGGATAATTAATGTCGCTGCTTTTTATATAATGTTAAATCAAACCCTGGAACTGCTCCCTCTGGAGGATCAGCTGTCCAATTTAATTTAGGCTGCAGAGCGAGTAAATGAAAAAGCAAGACCATGTCTCTGCACCCTGGGACACTGTCTCCGTACCTTTCATCTTCTTTTTATCGAGACCGCACAACAGGTAGACAGGGAGTCTGGAACATTTTACCAATCTGCCCCAAAGGGACAGTCTATCCAACAGATATAAGACAAACTCAAGGTAAAGATTTACAAAATGTTCCCAGGTGTCCCTTGCAAAATAAAAGGGATTTCAGCTGCTCTGCTTTTTCATTACCACCTAACAAATTCTTTAAACCAAAGGGTCAGGTTTGGCTTACTCTAAACACAGGATTTATTTCCCGTGGCTATCACACTGTGCATACAGCAGACCTCATTTCCATGAGCTGCTTTTCAAATGAATGCATGCACTCTCAAATATATTGAAAAAATATATAAATATAGCTTTTATTGTGTTATTAAAGGCTATTCTTTTTAACATATGGGAAAAGATGTTTAT